CTTCCAGTCTTTAACAGTGAAGTGGCTATTTCATTTTCTCACTTTCTATGAATGTAAATACACTTCTCTCACTATATATATGATAACCCTGCATTGAAGACTGAACAATGGGAACATTTCTCCAAGAGATAGGGTATCATCCTGCAAATCTTCATCTCCACAAATCGTTTAATGTTCTTCTTCTTGAAGATGATGTCTATAGAAAACTTGTATTTCTTTTTGTTGTGGTGATTGAGAACGGCTAGCAATCTTGCCTTCTTGATTGATATTTCCAAACATATTTGAAGGGAGAGGGAATTCAGTTATCGACTTCTACATTTGCCATCTTCTCCATAAATCAGACAAGAAGGACTTTGGGGGCTTGGCCCAATGAAGAGGGGAATTCTGTTTGTGATCATCTACTTCTCCAGATCCTCTTTTCCTGCTCCAATGAGGACTTCTCTTCATTTCTAAACCTAAGCTGTTATGTTTCTATTCAATTGTGTTTTTGTTTTATCTAGAACTGCCCCCTCCGCCCACATAAAAAGGGCAGGTAATGTACAGAAAGACTCCTATTTTTTTCAATGATCTGAAAAACAATTACTATAAATCCATATGAAACATTGTTCTGCCTGTTTATTTTTGGTTTTTCACAAGTAGAAATATGTACGTTGTAAAGAGCTGTAATACTGCTGCCATAGCTGTGCTGCTGCTGTTCTTTTGGAATGAAGCCGTTCTACTAAAAGGACTATCAATTAGAAATAAGAATAAGTTGGCTGCTTAATGCTATGCTATTTTACATTATATGTGAATGAGAAACAGCAGCACTGTTTGTAGCAAAATAATACTTAAACTGAGAAGTCTGGAGAAATCAAGGAAAGGTCTTGTTTCCTGAAAAGCCAATAATTTCTTCTGCAGTAGTTGCTAGAGTTTTCTTCTGAGATAGGCTGTAAATTGAATTTGGGAAAACTCCGTTGACCAATTCTCATTTATCGGTGATAACCATGTGCAAAATAGCTATGTTTCGACATCGGTTTCAAAAGTCTCAGGAAAATTCGCCTGCAATTGAGACAAATGTTGGGTTCTCTTGTTTACAAAGTTTGTTGCATTATTATAACAAACTAGTGTTACTATTATACCAGGAGTTTGAGGATGAAGGTTTTCAATTGTGCCATACGTTATATTAGTGCTACTATGGAGTCTCCTGTTTATGTACACTTTCATGCTCTTAAGGTGATGTTCCTGGCTGTTCGTCAACTCAGCAACACAAGCTTGAGAAATGTCTTGAAAAAGCTTCTTGTACTGAATCTCCAACTATGCAAAATTGCACAACCTGAAACATAAGTATCTATACTTATGAGCATGATTGTTCTCAATTTTCATCCCCAGTGTATTTATTTAGTTATGTTCCACCTTTATTATTTTTACAAATAACTCAAGACAAGCAAACATCGTCAACTTTTCCATCAAGCGGGATTGGCCTGGGGGGGGATTGTATAGGGATTTTAATAGGGATTTTATAACTTTTCTAAAAATAACAGGCTAATTTAATATATATTTTAATTGTTTTTAGATATTTATTGTATAGTTTCGTTTTTATTTGCCTGTAAGCCGCCCTGAGTCCTTCGGGAGAAGGGCGGGGTATAAATTAAAGTAATAATAATAATAATAATAATAACTGCATCTTCCTCCTATTGTCCCCACAACAGCAACCCCCTGAGGTGGATTGGGCTGAGAGAATGACTGTCCCAAGGTCACCCAATTGGCTTCCATGGCTACGGCGGGACTAAAACTAGAACAGATATTTGTTCAGCGACAGTGTATTCTAGAATGAGCTTGTCTTGTTGCAACTGATGTGTTTTAGTAAGTACCTTTGTTTAAGTTTGCACTTTAAAGGCAATTCGTACCCAAAAAAAGGGCAAAAGTGTGGCTTTGCAGACTACCTAGTATTGCAACAAGCTAAATTTCCAGACCATCGCTTTTTAAAACATTTCTTGAAAGACAGAAATGGTGAGCCTTTCTATAGGTGCCCGCTCCTCAAAATGATAATGTTCAAAGTGAGAATCATCAAAATGAATTTTGTGAATGGAAAGGAGTAGCCCTTCAGAAGATGTCTTCTGACGGATACCTACCGTAGGGAAAAGTTGATGTTAGGCTAGGTTTGTTCTAATATATCTGAAAGTCAGAATTGATACATAGAGAGCAAGCAGAAATGCTATTTATATGGCGTGTTATGCGCACTTATGTGAATGTTGGTTAATAGGCAGATATCTGACATTTTAATTAAAAGGCCATTACAGTGTTTCAGTTATTATTTGAGGGAGGTTAGATGCTACTCAATCTGCACTTTTCCTAGGTTGAATGCAATGGATGGGTAAATCAATCAAGAGCTTGATTGCAACCCATTCATTGACCTACCTGCTTTTTACTCTCCTTTGCACAAGTGCCATTTGAACCAAGAGGGCCTTATTTATTCTGGCTACGGTATTTGAACCTTTGCCACTTTAACACAAAAGCTGCTTGTGCCTAAACTCTTGAGACAATTAATTATACTGCTAATGTGTGGCTTATGTATCCCATGTAATTGTTAATAGATTTTCCCCAAGGAACTCTGAAAACTATAGCCCAAAGTCCTACGAATTAGAGGAGTCCAAGCCTTACTCCTGCCCTAGAAAAGAGTAGCTCTAGAGCCAACTGAAAATTGTGGTAGATCAATTCTGAACACTCAAGTCATAGGGTATCTGTTCATCCCAACCTTTGGCTCTAGAACCACTCTGGGTTTAATGTTGCATCAGGGAAGGGCGTTATGAACACCAATCAAAACCCCATCTCGAGTTCTGTCCTTCAAACTCTCCATTCCAATGTCCTCACAGCTGTACTCAAAATAATAACCACTCAGCCACATGTTATAAATAGCAAATGCTTGTTGTTTCAAACGGCTTACAAGTTTTTGGGGAAATAAGTGCTCTCTACAAAAGAAGAGTAACAAAGCTGTTGCAGCAGCCCATCAAACCACCACCGCAGGGATAGAAACATTTCCCTGTCCTCAAACCACCTAAGCCACAAAAGAGGGAAGAGCATTTCCCCTTTGGCTCTGGACCATCCAGGGGTACAACAGACACTCAACACAACTCCCAATGCTAGTGGGCAATATTTACAGGCTGATTTCTGGTAGCTGTACGTGCTTTTGAAAGGGAAGGGGTTGCCACCCATTGCCCGGAGAATGGAAGAGGGGAATGGAAGAGCAGGGTTTGCGCATTAGAAAAAGCAGGAAGTAGGATGGCTATAGCCGTAGGCCACTTCCACAAGATGGAAGCCCAAAGTGCTGAGGGTAGGGGTCACCATGAAAGAGCAGGAGCCACCGATACTAGGTACCTTATCTTCCTTCCACTTCCCGCAACACAAGTGGAAGGTGGAAGATCAAGGTTGCATGCAATTAGCAAGGAGTTTTGGAAAAAGTGAGGCGGATACAGACTTAAGCATCTCATACTGTGGCTTTAAAAATGTCTTCCCACTAGTTCTCTAACAGAAGTGACTGTGCAGGAGATGACCTAGCAGGACAAGAGGAACAAGGCTGAGCGTTGGGTTGTGGTTGCAAAGAAACAAGGGTTTCAAGGCTTTTACTCTTTTGGGAATGAACTAGATTCGAAGGCCGTTGGCTATTTTCTGTGCAAAATAACTTTCTCTGCTGAAGGCTCCCCCTTTGGATCTAACACTCCACCTAGAAAAGGCAGCCAGCTGGCTGGGATACTCTAGAGATAGGATGGAAAGGGCTAAACCTCTCTTGTGCTGCTGCTCTACCAAATGTTCTTGTTAAAGCCTTGAGGCTTTATTACATGTGCTAGTGCACAGTACAGTTTGCATCTCAACTTCCTTAGAATCAATAACTTTGCTTCAAGGTCATGAGAATTACACAAAAGAATATGGAAACCAAGAGAATCTTAGGTAAATCTGAAGCATTTTTTTTTCTTTTGTATCTGGCCCTATTCATCTATCGATAGTTGCAAGGGTAACAGAAGATGGAAGCTGTGTAGCCCTCTCAGTGATATTCATAAACATTTATAATATTCTTGTAGAAAAGCCACTGCCACATAGATGTCTCTTGGCCTTGTGACACCTGGACTATATCCAAATTAGCAGCTGATAACTTTATCAATAATCTCTTAGATCACCCTGCCATAGCTGAATGATTTTTCATCATCTCAACTTTAAATGAAACTAAGTCCCCCGAATACAGAACGTTCAATGTCAGGGAGCATTTTAGTTCTACCTTCTTCCTGATGTATTACTTCTTTTTATGCAGGCTGAAATATTGTAGCTCAGTTTCGCCTGCTGCTTATTGCACATGATTCACCAAAGCATTTGCGCAAAATGGTTGCCAATGCCATAAAGATCATGCCCTGTAATTGAATCAGCATTAGCTGTTCATATCAATTTCTAGAGCGCATCCCTCTTAATTAGAAATCTTAGTTATCTACACCAATCTCAATTTCCGGACAGATCTTGGGACATGTGCACACAGGTCTAACCTTATAGCTAGGCAAAAAGTGAGGCTCTGGGCCTCCCGCTTGGAGGAAGTAAACTCATCCTAAGGTCTCTACATGCCTGGCTTACTCTCTCCCTTGTAATCTTCAGCTCTGATCTCCTGTTCAGTTAAAAAAGGAGCTACAATCAGCTTCTCTTTTGGAAAAAATTTGTTCCTCAGAAGCCCAGTGCTACTCCTAACCTCCCCACCCCACCCAAAATGGAACCGGGATATGAAGTTTACCCTGCAAAGATATTACCATGGCCTTCATAATCCAAAGTGAAGGAGGGCCAGACATATCACCCAAGCTCTTTTAGGCGGCCATGGCTATGTCTGGGCTTCCCTAGATAGCACCTGTGTATTGGGGCAGGACCTGCACTCTGTGGGGCTCAGCTACAAAGTGAAAGAGACAAAGGCTTGAGATTAATTCAGTTTGGGAGATGGCAAAGACAGCAGCAGCTGTGTCTTGTGTCCCTGGATGCCTGGCCAGGAAGTTTCAATAACTATCTTTGGCCCAGGGCCGGTTGCGTTGCCAGTTCCTGTCATTGTGATTGTGCTCAGAGTCGCGCTCCAGAAGACGGTCCTGCGAGTCATGGCCGTTGGTGCTGCGGAGGCCACTGTTGTGGTTGCGATGAGGCTGGTACAGGTCAGTGTAGGCGTCAGAGTATTCATCCTCCAGGTGCCGGGAGCTGCGCTGAGAGGATGCCGTCCATGTCTTGCGCGAGGCGTCACTCACTTCGTCAGATTGCATCAAACTGTCATGCTCCACCGGGGAGCGCTCACTCTCGTGCTCGGCCATCGGGGCCTGGCTCTGCGGGAAGGAACCACAGAAAGAAGGCGTTAGCAAGCCTTCCGCTACCTGGTGCTCTCCCAACATGACAGACAGAGCTGGGCTGGAATTCAGCCCTTAATTTGCTCCCTCGAAGAGCTTCTATGTGACTAGACTAGACTGAGGATCCCCATCCATCTATAGTACTGTTCATTGCACTTACACTTTCATCAAAACTACTGAAACCTTGCAAGTGGACCAGAAATAAATTCTACCAGTGCCCTGCAATTTATTCTTTATTTGTACAGGATAGGGTTATGCTCATACATTCTATTTCCAATTCCAAGGATTTATGATCAAGACATTTCAATTGGATTAGGACTAACTGATTCTTTGCTTCAATCCTAATTAGTCTCCCTACAAACATTTTAATCAAATCAATCAGCTAGGAGAAACAGAATAAATTTGCTTATATTTCTTCATGGGTTAATGAGGCTGAATGTTGTTGTTGGTTTTTTTTTTAGCTGTATAGGTAGTCCTTGACTTACAGCCATTCATTTAGTGACTCTACAAAGTTACAATTGTACTGAAAAAAAGTAACTTAAAACTGATCCTCGCACATTTACAACCAGTGCAGTGTCCTCATGGTCACATGATCAAAATTCTGAAACCATTTGCAAGATTCCTAGCCAACGTCCAACAAGCAAAGTCAATGGAGGTAGCCAGGTTCACTTAACAACCATGTGATTCACTTAACCACAGTGATTTGCTTAACAACTGCAGCAAAAAAAGGGTTAATAAAATCGATCCTGGTTCACTTAACAATCGGCTTGTTTAGCAACAGAAGTTGTGTTCCTAAGTCAAGAACAACCTCTATACTGGTCTCTTCATCTTCACCCAAAATTAGCTTTTTGGAATGAGGTGCAGCTGGTTGAAGATTCTCTAAGAGATGACCTGGATGACTGAGAATCTCCATAAACATTCTCTAAGAGAATAACTCAAAGAAGAAAACCTCTGCCAGTCAAAATATTTTTGGACACAGAGTTACCACTAGCAACGCCGGCAATGGCTAATGGCATCTGGGGTCCAAAGCCTGGAGGGGTCAAGGTTCACTGCACCACTTGAGGATTAGTTTGGGGGCAATATAATAGCGATACCCAATGGTTGGAAACAAAGATAGCCTATTGCCTTTGGAGTCCCCAAAGGAGCTTCAAAATGTCTGTCACACTCCCTGCTAGAAACTGGATATTGTACTAGGGCAGTGGTTCTCAACCTGTGGGTCGGCACCCCATTTCATGGGGGTCGCCATTTTTTTTGTCCGCCATTTTTTTCCCCTTTTCCGGCGGGTGCCTTACCTCCCTTGGGCTGGGCCAGCTGGTGGTCGGCCTGCTCCGTCTCTGCCGCTTGCCAGCTACGCCTCGGCCGGCGCAGGGGGCAGAACCACGCATGTGCGGCGCTCCCGGGCAGGGAAAGTCCTCGACTTACGACCGGTTGGGTAGTCCTCGACTTACTACCGGTTTAGTCCTCGACTTACGACCGGTTGGGGTCGCGGCATTAAAAAGGTTGAGAACCACTGTACTAGGGAGACTTTTCAGTTGGGGCAAGAAGGCAATTTGTCGTACCTGCAGGCCAGGAATGGCAGTGGAAGGAGTCAGGAGGTTTTGGCTCCCTAGGCCGTGTGCAGGGTGGTGGGTTGCTCGCCAGTAAACCTCCAGATATTCAGCCAGATGTTCACAAGCATCCTCCAGCTGGTTCTCATCTAGGATCACATCAAAGAGTTCCTTGGGGGCAACAAACAGCAAAGATAAAAAGGAAGAGGAAGGAGTAAGAGTTAAAAACTGCACTACAATCTGCCTTGCTGCCATCTCTATCTGGCTTAGTCCGCAACTTACAACCAGTCACTTAGCAACTGTTCAAAGTTACAACAGACACACAAAAGGTATTTACAACCCGCTGGTGAAATTCTCACGGCTGCTCTCCCCTGAAGTCACATGACCGCATTTCGGGCACTTGACAACTGGCCTGACTCAACAGCCATTTGTAGCATCCCGCAGTTTACTGCAATTTACGTTTTTGCCAAAAACCAGCATTTTCTTCTAGTTTTTGACAAAAGCACCTCATGGCAAACAATGGATTTGCTTGGCAACCACAACATCTGCTTTACAACTGCAGATTTACTTAACCAACCTGCTTCAGGACCGCTGTGAAAAAGGTCATAAAATTGGGACGGTCACATAATGACCTACTTTATGACTTACAAACACAATGGGAAGTTTCCATTGCTGTCCTAAGTTGAAGACTACCTGCCTTGTATTCTTGCTCCCATCATCCCAAACCTAAACTACAATGGCAGGGGAAGAATCGAAATTCTGGTCCCACACATCTTTAAGGCAGTAGGCAAAGGAGGACTGGAACAGAGGCAGCAACTGCTGAGGCATCGTACCAGTGTTCAGTAGCGACCATGATTAAGTACTGGAAAATGACATCTCTCTTAAAACAGGTACAGAACTATTTAACACTTCAATGGTTCCCCAAAATTCATGGGCAGCTTGGATTCCTGAGTAAACAAATCTATTAACTGAGAACTTGCGTATATATTCCCTGTATGGGTGCTAGACATTGCAAAGTACAGGTAGTCCTCGACTTACGACCACAATCGAACCCAACATTTCCATTGCTAAGTGAGACATTTGTTAAGGGAGTTTTGCCCCGTTTTATGACCTTTTTTGCCACAGTTGTTATCACTGAATCACTGCAGTTGCTAAGTTAATAACACAGTTGTTAAGCGAATCTGGCTTCCCCATTGACTTTGCTTGTCGCAAAAGGGGATCACATGACCACGGGACACAGCAACCGTCATAAATAGGAGCCAGTTGCCAACTGGCTGAATTTTAATCATGTGACCATGGGGATGCTGCAATGGTCGTGTGAAAATTGGTCATAAGTCACTTTTTTCAGTGATGTTGTAATTTTGAACAGTCACCAAATTTATGCCATCAAAGTGGACACAAGCAGAGCCAGGACCAGGAGGAGATGGAGAGGAATCGAAAATATTATGCATAAAAGACTCACCGGAGGACACTGGACAAGTTTGTCAGCAGCCATCATTTGAACATTAAGATGCTTCACCTGTGATTTCCCTCTGGACTTAATAAGGCGTTGCAACACCTTCCACAGAAAAAGAAGATACAGGCAAAGAGCTCAAAGTCACCACATGAAAGCTAGGGCTGCTATAATGTTTTAGTAACAGACTGGGTTAAGAATTAGAATACATCTAGAGCAGGCATGTCAAACTGCCGGCCCATGGGACAGATGCATCACGCCAAAACCGTGCCCACCCCATTGCCAGTAATCGGGAAAAGTCACAATACATCGCACGACGTCACGTGACATCACGAGTTTGACAGCAGCGCCTGCATTTTCTGCGTTGCATGAGAAAAGCACATCTTCTTTTTCCTATCCTTACCACTTTCTACACGGACGATCAAGAGCATCCTGTCATACAGCATCACAGACAAGAAGGCAGTGCAGAGAGTGGTGAGGATGGCCGAAAAGATCATTGGCAGTTCCCTCCCTCCCATCCAGGACATAGTAGAGAAGCGTTGCTTGAGCAGGGTCTGTAAGATTATCTGGGACATTACACATCCTCTTTACAACCTGTTTTCCTTGTTACTTTCTGGGAGGAGGCTTCATGGTATCCGTAGCAGAATATCCAGATTCAGCCATAGTTTCATTCCACACAGCATTAACCTTGTGAACTCTCAAGCTTCCTCCTTCCGTTATATATTCAAGATGGACAGTGTTTAATATTTATTTGTTATGTATATGTAGGGGTGTGGGTCTATACATACGTTATACATAGTATGTTTAGGTGTGTGTCATGTATGTGTTTCACTTTGAGAGCGGGCAACTAAATTTCATTTTTGATGTGTGCCGTTGTGCCCACAGTAAAAAAAAATGACAATAAAGGTTATCTTATCTTTATCTTTATCTAGAGCACCCTTACCCAAACTTAAGGAACTCCAAGTGGGTTAACTAATTCTCAAGAATAGTCTTGCTTGCTTGTCTTGGGAGTCTTTAACTCCAACATCTGGTAGGTGCCTCCATTAGGAGGAGCTCATCTAGAGCTATTGCTGTACATAAGTAAGACCATGGCCGAAGAATGTGGCCTTCTTGATAGGACCATTCATTCGAGAACATTCAAGTCCTTGCCTCAGCCTCAGCCAATTGCTGCTTGCCACTAAGAAAACTATGGATCTGAGCCATATGGCTGCAGCTCCCCCTCATATGTGGTCCTTAGCCCCTTTTCCTTGGTCCACAGAAAGTCAAATATTCCTCTGTACAAATATACAATATTGATGTTACAGTTTTCAGCTATTCTGAGGCAAGGTGTGTGTGAAAAAGTTACATAGTCAATATGATTTGGCTAAAATAACTTGAAAAACAGACATCTCCAAAGTCTGCCCCTCAAGCAACAGTCTTGTCCACATCCCTTTGACTCCCTCCCTCATGCACTGTAGTCTCAGCTACTCCTAACTAGGATATATAGCCCATAATCACCCAAAGGTTGATTGCCCTTGTTGGAAATGAACACAGGCTTCCTAAGGAGAGGGGGCCCTCTTAACTAATGTGGCTTCTTCTTCTGATATGGTAGCTGTGAAGACCAGCTAGTTATAGAGCTATCAGGCTCTATGTCTATGGAGATTCTCAATCATCCAGGTCATGGTTGTCCAAAGGTGTTTTTTTACAAAATGTAGAGCCTGGTAGTCCCAAAGGTGCTTTTTACAAAAGGCAACTGGACTTTCTCAAGAAAAAGCATCTTTGAGACTACCAGGCTGTGTATTCACTCAGAGATCAAGGCTGGCATTACTCTGCCTTTTCTTCTTATCATGGAAAATAACCATTTCCAATAAAATTTCCTTAAAAACAGAATGGCAGAGCAATCCAGGTCATTCTGTTACAAGCAGCTTTAGCATAAAACACTGAAGTATTTTCCATCACCATCTGCTATGGAACAGGCACCTGGAATCTTTTCAAGCAGAGAATGGACGTGACAGGCAGAATTCAGAGAAGGAATGGGAGGGGACTTTTTCTCTCTGTGTGGTATTCAAAGATTGTTCTGACTTGCTAACTTTATTTGGATAGCATCTGTTTCTCTGTTGTGAGGGCTGTTGTAAAGATTTGTTAAATAAGGCTTAGAGCAGTGTTTCCCAACCTTAGCCATTTTAAGATGTGTGGACTTCAACTCCCAGAATACCCCAGCCACAGTGGTGGGATTCAAATATGTGAGCAACCAGTTCTCTCTGTGGATGCCGCTTCCGGACGTCCATTCTGGGCCTGGGCAACACAAAATTATCTACTGGTTCTGCCAAACTGGTGCGAACTGGATGAATCCCACCACTGCCCAGCCAGCATTGCTGGCTGGGGTATTCTGGGAGTTGAAGTCCACACATCTTAAAATGGCCAAGGTTGGAAAACACTGGCTTAGAGCTTTGTAATCCCAGGAGCATCACAAGGGAACACCGCAAGGGGGCAGAAGGAAGCACCACCGAGAAGGCTGGCGTTGGATGTGAGCAAAGCTGCGAGTTGAACATAATCCTGTATTGCCAGCTCACCTTTGGGGAAGAAACTTTGACATAGACAACGATGGGAGCCAGAGAGGTTTTGGCCAGCTGGGCTGGGTGGTTGATGGTGTCTGCATCCAGCACTACCAATTGCAAGGACTTGGCCAATTCAAAGATCCGCTCAATCTCGCTTTGGACTTCAGCTGTGAAAGCAACAGAAAGACTGTGAATTGGACATTTTTCTCCCCAAGAGGAAAGGCCATTTTCTCAGCTTCCTTCCCTCTGTACATCTCAGATACGGGTAATCCTTGACTTTTAGACCACAACTGGAACTAGAATTTCCATTACTTGGCAATACCATTGTTAAGTGAGTCTTGCTGCTTTTGCAACCTTTTCCCCCCATGGCTGTTAAGCAAATCACTGCAGTTGTTCAATGAATCTCAGGGTTGTTCAGTGAATTCGGCTTCTCCCACTGACTCTGCTTGTCGGAAGCCAGCTGGGAAAGTTGCAAATGGTGATCATGTGACCCTGGGGCACCACAGCCATTGTAAATACATGCCAGTTGCCAAGCATTCAAATTTTGATTATGGGGAAGCTGCAATGATTGTAAGTGAAAGGACTGATTATAAGTCACTATTTTGAGCGCTGTTGTTAACTTTGAACACTCAGTAAACAAATGGTTGTTAATCAAGGACTACCTGTATCTCTTGTGTTTCTAACCCCCAGAGATCCTCCTTGTCTTCCTTCCTCCTTTACTACACACCGGGAAACCATCTTCCCAGGAGAAGTCCCGAAGAGGGACATCCACTTGAAATCGCAAAAGCTGTCATGATGAGGTAACATGAAGTGGAAGCCTCTTCCCTTGGTTTTAATGGGAAGCCATCCCATTAGGCTTTGCCCCCCTGTTCATCCAATAACCATCCCCTCCCTCCCCAGTGCACACCAAATTGGCTCCTGTCAGGTCCTAGCTTGCTGTCCCTGCCAGTCCCAATGCCCATTCCGGTCACTCTATTGACTCTGGAGGAGCTGTGCAGGCTGTGAATACTCAGTGCCAGGGGGGCTCAGCCAGCGGATCACGGCCAAAAGTTATTCACTCCCCTGTCTTGTTCTGAGGGCACGTTGACCTCCTCCCTGTGCACATAGCTTATGTGATGGCTACTGCTGGTCTTAGGCACCTCTCTAATCTTGGGGGGGGGGTTCATATGCCTCATAATTGCCCCCCTTGTATTTCAGGGTAAGGAGAGAGGGACCCCTCGTGTTTCCTTTTCTCTTCCTGTTTGATAGTGAACCTCTCCGATCTCCAAACTGACAATCCTGGACTCCCAGTTTCACTACTCTGCCTCCCTCGCAGAGATTGAGAAAGGAAGCAGGACTACCCCATCTCTCTGCCAATAAAACAGCCATGTTCAGCTCTTAAGCCATTTGAATCCAGTATAAGAACCAGTACAAGAACTTTATGACTAAGAATTTGTGTTCAAGTTTGCTTTCTTTTCTGTTCTTCCTTCCTATCTTTTTTTTTCCTTTTGTGAAAAATTGATTTTATGACCAGGATTTGTCATGAGTTTAAATTCCCATTTAAATCTAATGTCATGTGAATCTAATGAATATCTCTGAGTTGCACGGAAAGGTTAAAGGCAAATAATAGGAATTTTTAATCACCAATTCTGAGGTAAAAAGCGATTAAAGTATGGGACGTGGTTCATAAATATATTTTGACTGTTATGATAATATTATCGGGGAGTGGCAGAAAGGATTACTAATAAGACACTTTATGATGAAGGCCTGTTGCTGACCATTTGCCAAATTCCACTGCTGCTGCTTTTGCTTCCTAGTAACTCACAATTGCATATTTAAAAGGTTATAAATTAAACACAATCAAAATTCCTGGTTAAACAAATCAGTTAAGAATTTACAATTAATTTGAACTGGTTCCAAGCCAGAGGCCATAGAAAGGACAGAAATTATAAAACTATGAGTGACTGAATTCACACATCAGACTAAGTTACAATGTGGTTTGTTTTGCCTATGCTTAATGTGATGTCTAAATCCAGGTATTGTTGTTAATTGCTTACTGCATTGAATGACTTTTATTTAATCAATATTTTACTTATTCAATAAGTCATGTTTAATAAATCTTGTCTTTGGATAAGGCATCAATCCAGCCTTCATGTCCCTTCGTGGAGAAGGAGCCTATCAAGAACAGTACAGATAACACTTGTATGACTTACAAGCATTTATTAAGTGACCATTTGAAGTTACAATGGCCCTGAAAAAAGTGACATATGATCATTTTTCACACCAATGACCATTGCAGCATCCCCATGGTCATGTGGTCAAAATTCAGATTCTTGGCAACTGGCATGTATTTATGACAATTGCAATGTCCCCAGAATTATATTGGCAACTTCTGATAAGCAAAGTCAATGGGGAAGCCAGATTCACTTAACAATCGTGTTACTAACTTGACAATGCAGTATTCACTTATCAATTGTGGCAAGAAAGATCATAAAGTAGGACAAAATTCATTTTAAAACTGTCTTGCTTAGCTTTTGGGCTCAATTGTACTCATAGGTCAAGGACTACCTGTATTAAAGGGGTAACTCTAAACAGTTCTGGGTTTACACATAGAGTAGCATGTCTGCAGAGATAGTATCTAACAAAGTCTGGGGAAAAGGCTGAAAATTAACTGCGATCTCCCAGAGTAAAAGTTGCAAGAGTTACTCCAGAAGGAAGTCTTCTAGAGATGGTTCCATGGAAGAACTTTTGGGCAAAGAGTCAGCAGAAGTCACTTTAAGAGAAGGTAATGATGATGTCTTGACTTGCATCCTCTTTCTCAATCAGAAGGAAGATTTAAGCAGAAAATGGAGTTAACTTTCAGGAGAAAACTCAAGAAACGAAAGAGCCATTTCAAGTGACAGCCGAGGTTTTGCCTTCTCTGATTCTTGAGAACTAACCCAAGTGAAATTAAGGACATTACAACGAACATATATTTTATTCAGAGAGCTGAATTTAGTTATAGAATTGATGCTTTCCTAAAATAGTTCACAACTGATCAATGAGTTTAATTTTATCTTGAGCCATTTCCATACACTGAGGAAGCGCCAATGTGAGATCCTGGTGCCAACTCATTGCCTCTCCCTAGGGCTTCGCCGGGGCGGGGGTGGGGAGGGGTGTTTCACAGGCTGAACTTCTTTGGCTCCTTCTCCAGGAGGAAATGCTTTGAGAAAAGTTAGTTTTGCAATATCTCCTCCTGAGCTCTGAAGGAGAAAGTTTCTCCCTCCTTCTCTTTTCATTCTGTTTCCAGAGATTTGCCTCCTTTCATCTGAAAAGAATTGTGCCTTCTTCCTCTGCCTCCTCCTTTCAAGAATGCTTGGAAAAGTGGCTTTGCTGTTTCCCTGCATTTTGTCTTCACTGGAGGAAAATAAATGAACCGAAGAGATAGGGCATTGGATGGAACACCAGGGTTGTTTTTTTTCCCCTTTTCTCTATTGGTCAACAGGAAAACCCATTTCCCATCCCCAGAAAGCAGGCAAAGGGATGTTCACACAAGGGTACAGAAGACAGCACTTTACTCCAGGGGGAAGAGTTGTTGTATAGGAATTGCCTTCAGTCTACATTAAACAGATGCTGTCAAGCATAGCTCAACTCTTGGTGATGATATGGACATATACGTGGAGCTGCCTTGGCAACTGTAATGGACTAATTTGACATTCCCTTTTCTTGGATGTTTTTCAATTTCCCAGTCTCCGCCTACAGCACTGAGATTCTCTGTTGGTCTCTCATCCTAATACTGACACTAATATTGATGTACTAATACTGATACTAATACAAAGATCTGGAAATAGAAACAGAATGACTATGGCAAAAGAAAGCAAAGAGAATACCAATAGTAATAGGTGCCTTGGGTGTAATCCCAAAATAACTGGAGCACCACTTGAATACAAATCCACCATCAATCAATTGCAAAAGACAGTTTACTCAGAACAGCTTACATTCTGTGACAATACCTGTAATATCATCAAACATCCACATCTCCCTATCCCAGATCCTTGCGAAGAAACTCGATAGGCAGACAAAAATGCCAAATCCAGTCTGAACATCCGGCTGACTATGCCACAAACCCTAATACTAAATATAGTTTCTGAACCAAGAAATGTCAGCCAGATGTTGCCATCTACCAAGGCTAATATTACAACAGCATTTTTCAATTATTTTGGCCTCAGGAATCCTTTCCATTCTTAAAAAATATTGAGAACACTAAATTTTTTTGGTTTATGTGGGTTATATTTATCCATATTTACTATATCAGAAATTAAAATTGAGAAAGTTTAAAATATTTATTTGAGAACTGCTGCCTGAAAATAATATCGTTAGTTGATTCTAAAAATCTTGGAATCTATTCACATACACACCCCCATCTAAAAACTTTCTATTTATTCATTTTTCACAACTGTAGCAAGAGGTAACCAACCAATTTTTCCTAAGCAACTAATTTGCAATTTGGAGATTACAGTACCTTAAATGGTGGCCTATATAATACAGTGATTGTAAAAGTAAGCAAAACAAACATGCTGGAACTAATTGAATGCAGAATATTCACATATTGGCATATTGTTTTTGTCCCATGTTAGCAAGCAGCTCAACTAGGCGAGGTGCTGAAACAACACATAAACTTCCAGCACCTGGCTTAAGGTATATGGTTGGATATTTCCAGAGGGTGGTTTTGTACAAATTTCAGAGTTAATCACCTTGAACTCAGTGGGGATTACTTTTTGAATAGGCTTGCATAGACTGCATTGTTGATGGAATTTGGGACCATCCCTGCTCTTCAGTCAATGCTTGGGATGCGTAGAAAGTGCAGTCTGCACTGATGGAACATAAAAGGAATATAAATACAATGTGTTGACTACAGCAGAAAATTGAGCTAGCAAGTGTATTCAAGGAGAATGATTAGATGGCTGTTTAAGAGAGATCCGGTGAGGTTATCTGATCCATGTTTGCAAATGCAATGTCAAATGAAAGTAAAATCTCTACAATTTTCCAATTTTGCTTCTACTTCATCGAATGGAAATCCATGCCCACATGTTAGGGAAGGATAACCATTTTGTAACTAAAAGTTTGTATATTTTTTTCCCAATTTGGAAGAGCCACAGAAGGTATAGCAGTGAGGCCATTAGGAAAAAGGAGGGGGAAAGTTATTATAAGCCTATTCATTTCTTCTTCTTTCTCAAACTTAAGCTAAAAATCCCACCAATATAATTTTGCAATTAAGTGCGCCCTCAAAAGAGGTGCACTTGGCCTATAGATCTATGGGCTGCTCACACCTGCCACATTTGTAACTACATGGATATCAGCAAGAAGTATTACAACAGGTTGTTGATTCCATGAATAACCATGGAAAAACTGCAGGAGATTTTAGACCACACACAGACATTTAATAAATAATACTAATATTGTGACATGCCTTAATCTGGGGTACTAGCTGCTTTCAACAAGGTATTAGTTTCTACAAATATTTTATCCCCTTACTGTGACATCTGAGTCATTCACCAGGACTGTGGTATATATTCCTATTTATCCTCCAGACAGATTTTCCATCAATCTTCCATTTTGCCCACAGAATGTTTTTAAAGTGGTTCTTTTGGGTGCATTTCTAAGGTAATGTGCTTCAAAAGCTAAAAGCTATTTCCAATGTGTAAGTGCATAAAGATTTTAAAATGAATTATTGACAATTTTAAACTTACTGTATAGATCAGCATGCAAAGAGAGGACAAACAGACCTTAGAATTACAAAAACACTGCAGCAATTTGAACCTTCAACTGCAGTGCTCCACATTGTAAAATAAGTGACCTGTGCAACACTATTTCACCTATATTTTACTTGCTATGTATTAGCATGGGCCTCACCCTCTGGTTTTCAGCATCACAAATACAATGCTATATTAATTACTTGCAGCTCCTGTATTTTGCAAAAATACCATCAACAGGGTGCCTCACACAGAGAATGGGCTCCGGTATATATATATATATACTGTCAGCATCAGATTTCACTCCAAATGTATATCTGAAAGGTAGCTGGATTAGTCAATACAAGCAGAGGAACAAAGGAATTTTAAAATATCTTAAACTGATAACAAGCTGCTAATATTAATGGCCAGCACATGCTAATATTCATATGAGGATTCTTGACAACAACTAACAATTCTTGCTGAACTGGTAGGCTTTCATGGATCTAACCAAGTGGCTGTCCAATAGAGGCAGTTTTGGAGATTATTTTTATTTGGGATGCTCGCAGGATGGGAAAAATTAAAACTCCTTTGCACAATTCAAAAGCCCAAATGACATTCTCATTCCCCACAACAGCAGGGTTAAATGCATGCATGGCTCATTGTTTAAGATTCAGTGTTGCAATGTCATTTAGTCCTAAGGCCCTATTGATGATTCAAATTACAATACTTTAGTACTGGTCTTATCCCCAAATCTTCCCTCCCTCCTCTTTGTCTATTTATACTCACTTAGCAATACCCCCATTTCTTCCCACTCATGCCTATTTTGGGCTATGTGCCTTTAAATTCCAATAAACATGCTTTACATTACAGCTGATACGAAATAGTTCCTCCATGTCTTTCCTGAAATCTAGGGAAAATGGGTTTATATAAACCATTCAACTACATAGATGTGAAATGCCTATGCTGAAATGACAAAAATAAGATGGGAAATATCATTTTAGGAATAGTTGCCTGAGCAACAAGGGAAGTCCCAAAGGAGAAAAAGAGAAGAACAGATCTCTGCCCAGGAGATTTGAAACAGTTACTCTGGTTCCACACAACTAACTAATTAAATAGTTGCAGCAACAATACAAATGGGAAAGAGGGATTTCCCTTGCCTTTCAAGGTGTAATGCTTACAAAACTACTTCCGTACTATTGCTAATTTTTCATAAACATTTTGCCACTTTTGAACTGCTTCTGTTTGGAATTCCTGTAGCCAGGTCTCAAGTGGATTATGCAAATCTGAAGCTGAACCCAAAAAAATAATTTAGAAAAGAAAATGTAGCTTGCCCATATTTTCTAGGAGATAAAATTTTCCAGACAAATTTCATGCTAACTCCAGTTTTTATCTCTATACAGTATCTATAAAGCAATAGTAAACCCAATTTTAAAAAGGTTGTGTTGATCCCTGAAGATATAAAGCTTCTACGTGGCAGAGACACTCTCCAAACTAAAGTTCTTCTGGAAATGAATCAGGGGTTAAGCTGATCCCAATTAATTAGGACTCACCAATACTGGAACGGGTGGTAGATCGCTCAATGATGGCCCGTTTCCCAGGATTGTTGAGCACCGAGCGCTTGGCCAGGGACAGGTCTGCTGTAACACGCGTGATGGAGATTCTGAAAGATAGGATGGCTCTGCTAAATGCCCTTAGGACAGGCGTGGGGAATAGTGGTCCTTTTATGACTTGTGGACTTCTCTAGAATTCTGGGAGTTGAAGTCCACAAGCCATAAAAGGTCCATGATTCCCCACCTCTGCTTTAGGAGATGGTGGGTGGGAGGTTGGAGAGGAGAGAGAGAGAAATAGATTTTTTTTAATGCCTCACCTGCCATCAAATCTGTGCTTCAAGAAATCAAAAAGAGCTTTCTGCATCATGTCTGTCACCTGGAAGAAAAAGAAGAACAGGTGAGTTGGGAGGTGAGCAGAGACAGTGGTCAGCTGACAGTCACAGTCAGTACTAGCATATCTGGTTTAGGAGAGATATAGGGGAGAATTTCATGCCTTCCATATCCCCCATACCTCGTATCCTTTCAGTGAGGGCCCCACCAGCACCACTGGCCGCATGGAAGGAACCACATCATATGGAGGGATGTGCTCTGTCTGTAAAAAGGAGAATGTGTCATAGGAAGTGACTTCTCCCCTATTCTGCAGCCAAAGGTCTGCTGCTAATTGTAAGGAGAAAAAGGGGACGTAGTAAAGATAAAGAGGGTTTCTCCAGGCCACATATTTCACCAAATATCATACACGTATGACACAAACATCAAGTATGACACACCCTCAACCTCCGGGATCCATTTTGTTTTGCTTTTGCTACAATATCACACCCCAGTTCGTGAGGAGGCTTCACAATAAGATGAATAGACTCCAGCCCCATATAAGCCCCATATAAGATGAATAGACTCCAGCCCCACTCAGCCTTTTGAAAGTCCTGTGATACAGGAAACTCCATCATTGCTGAACAGCTATTTTGCCTCCGGGAAGCTCTGCTTTCAGATTTGTCATAGCATCCAACCTGCTCAACATGAAGTTAGACAAGATAAGCCTCAGAAGTCATCCTGCCTTTCTCTTGGGAACTGTCTGGAGAAGAAAGGAGTGGCATCCAAGAAGGTAACCCCGGCATTAAGGCCTTACCTGCTTTTGCTTCTGTTTGGCTTGTTGGAAGAGAAAAAGAGATACAGGGTTGTCAATAGTCATGAGGTAGCAAGAAAAAAAAAACTATGGGAAAGGCTGGAGTTCTGCAGGGCTGGAGACTTGATCTCCCGGAATTGCAACAGGACCAGGAAGTTTCTCCCAGAAAAATACGTCACGTTATTTCCCAAATGTAGCAGCACATGTACACACAAACAGGTAGTCCTTGACTTACGACCACAATTGAGCCCAAAATTTCCGATGCTAAGCGAGGCAGTTGTTAAATGAGCTCTGCCCATCTTTATGACCTTTCTTGCCACAGTTGTTAAGTGAACCACTGCAGTTGTTAAACTAGTAACACTGTTGATAAGTCAATCTGACTTCCCCATTGACTCTGCTTATCAGAAGTTCACAAAAGGAGATCACATGACATACACACACCCCCGGGAAACTGCACCCGTCATAAATATGAATCAGGTGCCAAGCCTCTGAATGTTGACCATGTGACCCTGGAGATGCTGCAGTGGTCGTAAGGGGGAAAAATGGTCATCAGTCTCTTTTTTTCAGTGCCGTTGTAACTTTGACCAGTCACTAAATGAACTATTTTAAGTCAAGAACCACCTGCATTTAAGTTATAGCATTGGAAGCCATTGTTCGCACTCAGAACTTCACTGAAAATGCTACATATGAGACAAGCCAAGGTAAGCAAAATCTAAGGACTAAGATATCCCTTTTTCTGTGCTATTTAAATTAACTGCTACCATTTTTTAAATTTTGATAATTATGGGGAAAGACTCTTAGCCACTGAAGATTTCGTTTTGCAACTGCTTTAATCCTAAAAGGCGTTACCAACTTCACGCCACACATTTTTTTCTGAGAATCCTGACAACATTCATCTCGCCTCCTTCCTTTAGTAGCTGTTCCTTCTTTTTCCACCACCAACCCATTTCCAACGCACAGGTGGATCAGTTCCAAACTATGACCTGCTTGGATTTTTCTAAATAATGATATGCAGCCCGATTCGACACACACCTTTTCTCAGGTTAAAAAAAATTGCAAAACAAAAAATCGGCAGAGATTTCTAAAAATTAGTTCTACTTATGTCTTTACCTAATGATGGGGGAGGCGATCGCCGGTTGCTGATGGCAGGATTCCCAGATTGCCTAGTGGGAGGAGAGGAAAGCAAATACATGGTAAGAACCTAGGATTTAAAAAGTGGTGTTGTGTGTATACAGATTTAGAATCCATCTACTGTATATGACACATCCCCTCCCAAGGTCCAGTTTTATTAATAAATATTGACATGATTGTTGACCGTCCAAATTATTTTCCATTGATATTGCCCTTAAAAGAAGCATCAAAGTATCCTAAATATTTGCATACACATAGACTTTTATACACTGGAGGCTGAGTTTAGTTAGTCAAGAGCTTCAATGTGGCAGGGCACACAATCTACTCCCAAATTTATGGCCAGACACTTTCTATATCTCCTTCTGTTGCCAGAATTAAACGCTGTATATGCTTGTCCCATCTCACCTGGCTTTTTGCTCCTGTTTCAGCCGTATGGCCTCCAGCCTCTGTGGGCTGGGGATGAAGGCGATGTCTCCCCCCTCCTTCACTAGCCGCCCGATCCACCAGTCATTGCTGTATTTCTGGAGAGAATATNATGGCCAGACACTTTCTATATCTCCTTCTGTTGCCAGAATTAAACGCTGTATATGCTTGTCCCATCTCACCTGGCTTTTTGCTCCTGTTTCAGCCGTATGGCCTCCAGCCTCTGTGGGCTGGGGATGAAGGCGATGTCTCCCCCCTCCTTCACTAGCCGCCCGATCCACCAGTCATTGCTGTATTTCTGGAGAGAATATCACAGGAGAAGGCCACAAGCTTGATTTCCAACTTAATCTCCACTTCACCTTTATTCATGTAAGCTAGACTAGTGTTTTTAACCTTGACAGCTTCCAAATGTGTGGACTTAACAACGCAATCATTGCAGAGAATTCTAGGGGCTGAAGCCCACACGTGCAGAAATTGTATGTACAAGTTTAGGTATAGTTCAAGGTGCTGGTTATCACCTTTAAATAGCAATAGCATTTAAACTTATCTACCATCCTATAATGCTTCACAGCACTCTCTGGGTGGTTTACGGAGTCAGCATATTGCTCCCAACCATCTGGATCTTCATTTTACTGACCTTGGAAGGACGTAAAGCTGAGTAAACCTTGAGATGGTCAGGATTGAACTAGTGGCTATGGACAGAGTTTACCTGCAATACTACATTCTAACCACTGTGCCACCACAGCTCCTACAATTTATAACCTGGCTTGGGGCCAGTTTACTTGAAGCAACACCTCTCCCTATGACATCTTCCCGCCAGGGCAGGAATGCAGGGCATGATATGGGTCCCATCAATTAGGGATTGTGATCTGGTGGAAACACAAAAAAGGCCTTGTTTGTGGCCCCTTCTTTATGGAACTTCATTGCCCCTGAGGTATAGTTGGCCCCCATCCTGCTGTTTTTCTGAAAGGTCCAAAAGACATGGCTTTGTCTGCAGGCATAGCAACTACAAATGGAAATGGAGCTGATCATGTGGCTAATCTGACTGTATTGTGGCTGCCATCGGGAGTGGGGGAGTGTTTTTTTTTTTTTAATGGTTTTATTATACGATGGATTTTTTTAAATTAAATGTTGTAAGCCACCCAGAGCCAGTGTGAGTTGAGCTGCTATATAAATTTGCTTAATTAATAAATAAATTATAAATTGCCAAGGTTGGGAAACACTGGGCTAAAGTCATGCATCACACACAATCACAATGTGATTTATTTTGTTTGAGCCTTTGTGGTTTGCAGAACATGATTTAAGGTTTAGCATGATGTGTGAACCCTTGTCTTGGCTAGGTAAGTCATGTGCAAGCCAGATAGTGAACTCAACCTTTCTGTTAAAAGAAAAAAAGAGAGGATATGATTTGTCTGTCTATCTGCTCATATATCTCTTTCTCTTTTGTCTTCTTGAGCTATTCCGATCAGAGTAGAAGGTGCTTTTTTTTCTAATTATATATATTTTAGTATGAGTATTAATACATTAAACATAGCATTTGGTGGGTAGCCATTATAGCTAAACATCTGTTCCTCCAATACTCGAAAGCTACATCCCTGGAATAAAAATTGTTTAAAATTAAACAGTTGATCTTCTGGATACAGCAACCAAGGAATGAGATGCTAGGTCTAAATTAAACTATATCATGTCTACATTTTTAGGGTTCTTAAAAGCCTGACTTTTGTTTCTTCTCTTTCCTCTACTTCCCTTTACTGGATAACTATTTTTTCCTCTTTTTCTTCCTCAATCTGTACTGGGTTTGGGTGAAATATCCAGTTAAACAGGGAATTGTTTAACAATTTGAAGCAGTTAGTCCCAAACCTGTTGGAGATCAAGAAAAGCCACTATGACTTGGCTCTTTCAGAAAATCTTTGCAAGTTTGATAGTAAGAACTGACTGTCTCCCGGGTATGTTTAGGGATGGGAGATTTATTGCTGTTATAGGAGTGGGGTTAGTATTATATTTTCTTTTACTCTTTTCCTATTTTTGTCTGCAATCAAATGGAAGCCTTTTTGGAACTGAATTACAAACTGCACATAAATTACAGACATAAATATGTTCATATTTACCATGTAGGTAATCCTTGTTTTACAACTGCAATTGGGACTGGGATTTCCAGAAACTGACAAAAAAGATTGCAAATTGCAATCACGTAATTATGGGCTGCTGCAACCAATCGTAGATGTAAACTAGTTGCAGTTTCTGTGTGTGTGTGACATTTTATGACAGCTGGAAATGTCTTACAGGCCATAAAGCAGGGGTCCTCAAACCTGGCCACCCTAAGACTTGGCTGGCTGGGGAATTCTGGGAGTTGAAGTGGCCAAGTTTGAGGACCCCTGCCGTAAAGTATCTTTTGCAAGGCCATCGTAACTCCAACAATTGTAAATCAAGGATTACTTGCACTTCAGGTAAGATTTTGAAAGGTGTTCACATATTGCAACCCAATCCATATTTTCTAGGCTATTCAAAAAAGACAAAGTGATTCAGCTCCTGGAATCTCCATCAATACACCTATGTTGTCTTCTTGGCAATAATACACAAGTTCTTCAGCTTTGCCTTTTCCTGGGTTATACAATCTCCCTTCCTAACCTGTACCCAGAGACATCCACATGGCATGTGGGGGGTATTGAGCAAAGCGATATCCAATGTCACAACATAAGCTCCACCCCTTTTGTACAGGTATCGCTTACCCCACACACACATGGGAAGTTTGAGAACATTTTTTGAGAAGCGACTTTCAAACCAGAGTTCTGGGACTTTTAAGTCCACACCCTTAAAGCTGCCGAGGTTGAGAAACACTGGGCTAAACTCACCGCTGTACAGATAGTCCTCAACTTACAACAATTCATTTGGTGACCATTTGAAGTTACAATGGGCCTGAAAAAAGTGACTCACAACTAGTCCTCACACTTATGCCCATAGCAGCATCCCCACAGTCACATGATCAAAGCTCAGGTGCTTGCACCAGCATATATTTACAACGGTTGCCGCATCCTGGAATTATGTGATCACGGTATTTCCAACCTTCCCAGCTGGCTTCTGACAAGCAAAGTCAGTGGGGAAAGCCAGACTCACTTAACAACTGAATGACTCACTTAACAACTGTAGTGACTTGCTTAACAACTATGGCAAAAACAGTCGTAAAATCAGGCACGACTCACTTAGCAACTGCCTTGCTTAGAACAGTAATTCTAGTCTCAATTGTGGTCATATAAGTCAAGGACCACCAGTAAACCACCCACCCCTATCCCTAGCAGCAGTAATGCAACGTCTTTCCTCGCAAATCGAAATGCAGGTTCTGCTTCTGCACATCTCTGGTACTGCCAGTGCCCCACCTCTTTAATATGCAAGAAGTCTTTGGCTTCAAAGTTGATGGCAGATCCCTGCACGGGACATTCTTCATCCAGTGCGCCACAGTAGCTGACATTAGTACGGACAGCAAATGCAACTGGTTTGCTCTGAGGAGCAGAAGAAATCAAATATGAGTTATCAGTGCCAGGTCAGCCCCCATGTAAAATAACACCTTAGATCAAAGATCTATCCTCCTCTTTCTTCTATTTTTGTAACCTTGATTGGCTCAAAGGACACCCAAGCACAGTTAGAGGGACTCAGAAAGGTAGACCGTGCCTTCAAGGGAAGACACCACCTGGTCATTGCTGATCCTTTTGGCACAACACTGCTTGAAAATTACCTACATCTAAGCAGGATTCACGTATATGTTACAGGGGGCTAAGCATAGGAGTTTAAAATTCTTCTTCAGTTTCCACCGCCTTTCTGTAATGAGATGGGTACATGGACTATGTTTTTTCTAATATACCCCTAAAGTGTGGTGGGATAGTTTCTGGGTTGTCCATATCTCTCTCCTGCAGGAACGTGCTCTGGCCATCCCAAAGTTCCATCATCCTCTTCCTGTTCCCAGAACCATGCTTTAAACTGCTTTATGACAATCCTTTTCATTGCAAACAAACAAACAAACAAACAAGGCAGGGCATATGGAATGCTGGCTGAATATTGATGGGGAAAAAGTAAACGTGGAGAGAGGAGATGGAATGGATAGATGGAAACCTGAATAGAAAAAGGAAAGCTTTCCCCTTTTATTATATCTCCCTATCTAGTAAATGCGGAGGCCTGCAGGGAAGAAAGCTTGAGGTTCCAAAATTCTTCTCCCAGAAGCTTCCTAGTTCTTCACACCTGGTTCCCACCTCCAGTTTTGTCATTGTAGCTCCGTAGCTCAGCTATTGCAGAGGGTATTTCACTTACTATTCACAGTCCCTAAACCCAGTAGGCATTAGAAATGGAGTTTTCACATTCTCTGATGCCTTTCTAATAATTAAAAAGGCAAATGCTACCTCCTGGCCGTATGGCATATAGGCATGAAGACTGGAAAATTCATCCCTTCTTTTCCCCTCCCCTCAACTGTATCCTGGAAGATGGACAAATCTCACTGGAGATAAAGAAAATGAAACTTTATTTCAAGGGTTTTTTTTATATAAAAAAATGTTAAGTACCAAAATGCAAACCTTCCATATAAAGTAAAATAAAAACAGAACTGCCCAGATCACAGTAATACTTGCAAAGTAGTTAATGACGCACTCAATTGAAAATACAAACATTCCAGATAGACCACATGTTGACACTGGCCTACTACATACAAAGAACTCTCTATCTAAAAATCATGTAACACTGCCCCGATGATAAGATTTATAATTATTACTATAAAGCACAGGAATATTCTAAAGAAAAAATATTTTCATGTACATAGCTGAAATTCCACAACTGGTGCACCAAATTAAAGAAAATGACCTAGCACAACATACTAAAGAGAAATAGAAATATTTTTTTTAAAAGCTATTACTTGGCTATACAGTTATCTATTTCCATACATCTGAAGCAAATGGGTCTGTGTTTCCAAATATTCATTACAAATTGCAGGAGATGGGTACCTTGTGTCTTACCCAGCCAGCTTCTTTCCATGGACATTTTCTTCCATGTTTTAAAAAGATCAAACCACCTTCTATATAGTATTTAGCAAAAGGAAGGGCTGGGTGTGTATGAGAGACAAAGAACCTTCTCTCACTCATGGGGATGTGGACCATGAGTCTATAATCTGCAATCTGACATCTTAGTAATAGTCATAATGCCATCTCTTCACAAGGCAGTTTGTAGTTTTGAAAATCTTAAAGAGTTCCCTCAAACTTGATGATACCAACTTTTGAATAAGGATGGTGCCTTTTTTGGCTACATACAGTAAGTAATTTTAGAGAACTCAGATCAGTATTGGTAGTTGCTTTTCTCCTCTCCTTATCAGGTCTCTGCACTAATTCAGGTTTTATTCCAACAATAAGTATAAATATAGCACCTGCATACGCTTTAAAGATGCTGTCTTTTTCTGCAATCCTGCCGCTTCTCTTCATAGTTGTCACATGATCTCAGCTCCACTGCTTACGTTATTTTTCTTTTAACCAAATTGTAATTCAGATTCATTAGGGCTACCAGGAATTAATCTGTGCTTCCAAACAGCAGCTTCTTGCATTGCCAATAATATGCTACTGTGTAGCTGTTACAACTTCCTCTGTTTAGCTGATCCTCTGTGACTTAAAGGAAAAATAAGGCAGAAAGAATGGGAAAACAGAGAAAGATGACAAGTGTTCTAACCAGCTGGGGAATTCCATAATTGAAGCAGAGCAACTGAACAATAAAAAAACTGGACTATTGCAGGGGCAATCATACTAACCTGGACTGCCGCAGGGGCAATCATTCACACATGATGCAACCCTCTACCTGTCCTGGAAAAAAACAAGACCCATCCATTACCTTGGCTTTTTCAAGCTGCTGCTGGGCCTGGTTCTCCACTTCGCGCTTCACACCTTCGCGTTCCTCCTCTAGCGACACGTCGGAGTCCAATGATGGGCGGCTAGTGTAGGAATCAGCAGAGCCCTGGGGCAAATGTAAGAAATATATATGTGTGTGTATGTGTGTAGCCCAGTGATTTAGGCCAGGCAAAAAGAACAACCAGAAGTGCTAGCTCTGACTTTATTGTAAGGTTACATCAGCAGAATATTGCAAGACTAAAGGGATTTCTTCCTTTTTTCCTTTCACTCTTTGGAAAACTAGGGAGAGTCCCTTCTGAAATGTTTCCCATTCTGTTCCTCCCTCTCTGGGCTAAAACCTCTTTCACATCTGGTTGTCCAGTCTGTGCCTCTCTCTCCTATCACCCAAAGTCACTCCCACATACTATTACACCAGGGGTAGTCAACCTTGGCTCTTTTATGACTCGTGGACTTCAATTCCCAGAATTCCTGAGCCAGCTGGCTGGCTCAGGAATTCTGGGAGTTGAAGTCCACGAGTCATAAAAGAGCCAAGGTTGACTACCCCTGTATTACACTATCAAGTAACACAGCTGGAGCAGACATCTCAGCAATGGAGATATTTTACACTTTGAAATTAATCTCAAACCTCTATTACTAACTCCAAGAACCAAGAGTCTCAGAACAATCATCCATAAGTTACATCCCCACTGTAATTTATGCTGCAATTTCTAATGCCAAACTTTAGAGGCTACTGGATAAATGAAGGATTTGGGTTTTGATTAGGTTATAATATTCTGGAGTGGAGTTATGGGGTTACAATTGGTCATTTGAACACCAACAAGTGGTGAAAGTGATTAAAATGTTGAAATCTGCATCTATGTAAACTGGATTCACTTCAAAATACTGAAAGAAAAAATATTAGATCTGAATTGCTGCAGTATGTTTCAGCATAAGTTTGTATTTATTCAGTCCACAGTCTTCCATTTCATACTTATAAAGCAAATTACATATTATTATTTACAATACTATATGTTTAACCAGGGCATGCCAGGACCTAGCAAGTACTTTTCCTCAACATGTTAAGCTTAGAGTTAACTTTGCTTCATTTGTTGTGAGAATTTTGGGGAAATGCCATTTTTGGGAACGCAGCTTATTTCATTAGTTCAGGGGTCTTCAAACTTGGCCCTTTTGTGGACTTCAATTCCCAGAATTCCTCAGGCAGAGTGCCTGGTTGAGGAATTCTGGGAGTTGAAGTCCACAAGTCATAAAAGGGCCACGTTTGAAGACCCCCAGCATTATTTCATGCTTTAGTATATAGTATAAATACAGAAAACTTGTTAACACAGCAACAAAGTTAAATGTATAGTATGAATACTGTGTTTCCTCAAGGTTTCATTCCCAGATAAAAAGAAGGCACTTTTGTATGTTTAGAACAGGCCTCTCTTCATACTAAAGTTTATTGTCAAAAAACATTCCATCTTCTATAGTATAGAAAGCATTGGAGGCCTTTCCTCTGGGATATACTTACTACAGGTAGTCCTCGAGTTACAACAGTTCATTCAATGACCATTTGAAATTACAAAGGTACTGAAAAAAGTGACTTATGACCATTTTTCACACTTACGACTCTTGTAGCATCCCCACGGTCATATGAATAAATTCAGAGACTTAGAAACTGACTCACAGTTATGATGGTTGCAGTGTCCTGGGGTCATGTAATCACCTTTTATGACTTTCTGACAAGCTGGTCAATGGGGAAGCCAGTTTCACTTAACAGCTGTGTTACTAACTTAACAAGTGCAGTACTGGTAGTCCTCGACTTACAACCACAATTGAGCCCAAAATTTCTATTGCTAAGTGAGACATTTGTTAAGTGAGTTTTGCCCCATTTTACGACCTTTCTTGGCACAGTTGTTACGTGAATCATTGCAGTTGATAAGTTAGTAACCCGGTTGTTAAGTGAATCTGGCTTCCCCCACTGATTTTGCTTGTCAGAAGGTTGCAAAAGGGGATCACATGACCCTGGGACACAGCAACGGTCATAAGTATGAACCAGTTGCCAAGCATCTGAATTTTGATCACAGGATCATGGGGATGCTGCAAAGGTCATGACTGTGAAAAATGGTCATAAGACACATTTTGCAGTGCCATTGTAACTTTGAATGGCCACTAAATGAACAGTTGTAAGTGGACAACTTAATTCACTTAACAACTGTGGCAAGAAAAGCTATAAAACGGGGCAAAATTCACTTAATAACTGTCTCACCAAGCAACAGAAATTTTGGGCTGAATTGTGGTTATAAGTCAAGAAGTACCTGTACTATCTTTCTCCTATGCTGGCTTCCAATGATGATGAGGATGAGGATGATGATGATGATGATGATGATGATGATAATAATAATAATGATGATGATGATGATGATGATGATGATGATGATGATGATGATGATGATGATGATGTTGGAAGGGACCTTAGAGGTCTTCTAGTCCAACCCCCTGCTCAGGCAGGAAACCCTATACCATTTCAGACAAATGGCTGTCCAGTCTCTTCTTAAAAATTTCCAGTGTTGGAGCATTCACAGCTTCTGGAGGCAGGTTGTTCCACTGGTTAATTGCTCTGTCAGGAAGTTTCTCCTTAGTTCTAGGTTGCATCTCTCTTTGATTAGTTTCCATCCATTGCTTCTTGTCCTGCCTTCAGGCGCTTTGGAGAATAGCTTGACTCCCTCTTCTTTGTGGCAGCCCCTGAGGTATTGGAAGACTGCTATCATGTCACCCATCGTCCTTCTCTTCATTAAACTAGACATACCCAATTCCAGCAACCGTTCTTTATTGCTCTTCTCTGTACTCTTTCTAGAGTCTCAACATAACCTTACTTTTTTACCATTGAATTTCATTTTGTTAGATAGCTCCCAATGTTCAAGTCTGTCAAGATCCTCCTGTATCTTAAGCCTATCTTGTGGAGTGTTGGTTATTCCTGCCAGCTTGGTGTTGTCTGCAAATTTGATGAGTTCCCCATCTATCCCCTCGTCCAGATCATTGATGAAGATGTTGAAGAGCACTGGGCCCAGAACAGAGCCCTGGGGCACCCCACTACACACTTCCCTCCATGTAGATCCAGTTCCATTGAGGACCACACTCTGAGTACGGCTGGTCAGCCAGCTACGAATCCATCTGGTGGTGATGCTGTCTAACCCACATTTTTCTATCTTATCAAGCTCTCTCTAAGTCACAGGTGTCAAACTCGCCACGTCACGTGACATGTCGCGACGTATCGCAACTCTTTTTGCATTGCCGGCAATGGGGTGGGTGCGGCTTCGGTATGATGAAACTGGCCCGTGGGCTGGCAGTTTGACACCCCTGCTCTAAGTTTATTGAAATTAGCTCTCTTAAAGTCCAAGACTCTAGTTTGACTGTGTTCTATTGCTTGTGCTTGCATAATGTTGAATTCCAATATTGCTTGATCACTCCCACCCCCTCCCAACGTTTCTGTAGCTTCAACACCTTCTATCATTTCATCTCTTGTTAGTGAGAACTAAGTCCAATATGGCTGATCCCCTTTCTTTCTCTACTTTTTGGGAGACAAAGTTATCTGTTAGGTTTGTCAGGAATCTGTTTGATCTTCCACTTGGTGCAAAGTTTGTCTTCCAGTTGATGTCAGGATAATTAAAGTCCCCCATTATTATTGCGATGTGCTTCCTACATACCTTAGTTAACTGACTAGCAAAAAGTTCATCTATTTGGTTGGGTGGCTTATAGTATACACCTATGGCAATGTCATTTCCCCCCTTTTATATTGACCCAAATGCATTCAAGACAGTTTTCATCATTGTTGTGCTCTATTTCTGTAGAGATGTAGTTATTTCTTATATAAAGAGCAACTCCACCACCTCTTTTATTTGGTCTGTTTCTTTTAAATAATTTAAATTTAAACTGGAGAGTTTTAAGAAGAAGCTAGACAGTCACTTGTCTGAGATGGTATATGTTCTCCTGCTTGAGCAAGGGGTTGGACTAGAAGACCTCTAAGGTCCTTTCCAGCTCTATTCTATTCTAAATCCCTCTAGCTGTATGTTCCATTTGTGGGTTTCATCCCACCAAGTTTCCGTAATGGCAACAATATCATATCTCCCCTCATTTACCTGAATTTCTAATTCACCCTGTTTAGTGCTCATACTCTGTGCGTTAGTGCAGGGCTTTTCAACCTTTTCACCCATTGTATCACTTTTAGGATATGGCAACATCCGAGTACCACCAGTCGCCTAGCAAGGTATCAAAAACTTGACCAAAAAAGAAAAAAGAAAAAAGTGATAAAGTACAGGTAGTCCTCGACTTACAACAGTTCGCTTAGTGACTGTTCAAAGTTACAATGGCACTGAAAAAGTGCCCCCCAAGCCACAGCCAAGCAAGACACCTGCCTGCCCGCCCGGCGGCACTCTTCCTCCTGTCCGAGGTTTTCATTGTTGTGACCATTTCTGTTGGGGATTGGCAGCGGGGATGGGGTGGGGGGGTATTTGGTTTTTATCCCCCCCCCCCATCTGCTGGGTGGTTGCAGCAGGTTTTGGTCACTTCACATGACCCTGGGACACTGTGACCATCATAAATATGAATCAGTTGCCAAGCATCTGAATGTAAATCACAAGACCCTGGAAATGCTGCAACATTCCAGCTGATTGGCGCTTCTTCTGGGCTCAGCAGAAGCGCCAGGATCAGCACCAAGCTCCAGCTGGAGCCTGGCGCTGATCCTGGTGCTTCCACTGAGCCCTGACAGTCCCAAAGAAGCGCAGATCAGCTGGAAAGCGGCACTGATCCTGGCGCTTCCGCTTAGCCCTGACAGCCCTGCAGCTCCGGCCGTCTCTCGCTCAGGCTTGTGCGGTGCTGCCACCGGTTCAGCTCATTCCCCTCCCCCGCTACCACTTTTCTAGGATGGTCGCGTACCACCTGCCAGGTGCCAATGTACCACAGGTGGTACCCGTACCACTGGTTGAAAAGCCCTGCATTAGTGTATAGACATTTGAGTCCTTTATGACTGACCTTGTGTTTACTTTCTACATAACCTGTGTGGTGCCTGAGTTCCCCTATTTCCTTACCACCTATTTGATTAGTGCACTGGGGCACTCACTTGATTTTGCTTGACAGCAAGGTTGATATTCTTATCTGCACACACATCTATGTATGTTGTATATACTGCACTCAAGAAGAGCAATACTTAAAACGCGGTATGCCTGCAGTGAGACAGCCCTGCCTATTTAGATTATTTTGTCCCATTTGTTTCAGGCGCCTCCTCACCCCTCCCTGACCATTTTACCCAAGAGTCAGATTGGCTCTTGGGTGGAAACAGACTCACTCCTACCCTATAATAAAGCCGCGACTTGCAAATGATATAGTTATATTTGTGGAACGGCTACAATCAAACCCTTTTGCAGCCACATTCACCATGGCTGCCTTGAATGGAAAGCCTGCAATTGTCTCAGATGTCAGTACTAACAATACTGAAGGCAAAATGAGACAGAGAAAGGTAGAAATATTAAAGTCAAGTAATTTATCTTGTGGTATAACATTGCATACAACCCCTGGAATAGTATAGTAATTGCTGGATTGCTGCAGTTTTATTCCTATTCTATTTTGTAACCCAGGCCGATGGAGTGACTTGAAGTTTTTCTCAGCCAGAACAAGAACAGCTGAACCTTCTGTGTTGATGTGGACCAAGGAGGCTTCTGTTATACACAAACAAGATGCTAGGACCAAAATACTCAGAAGTCCTAATTCAATATGTCCCAAAGACTGACTCAACAGTGGCCTCCATGCCCTCCATTCTTTTGATTTGTAATCAGTATATAACAGTATTGGCTTGCCCTCTGTGAACGTTATGTAAAAGATTGCTAAAGTAATCTGGATGAAACACTTTGAACTCTTGAAGGATCCACTAGGTCAGGGGTAGGCAACCTTGGCTCTTTTATGACTCGTGGACTTCAACTCCTAGAATTCCCGAGCCAGCCAATTCTGAGAGTTGAAGTCCACGAGCCATAAAAGAGCCAAGGTTGCCTTCCCCTGACCTAGGTAAAGGTTTCCCTATCAGTCATGTCCAACTCTATGGAATGGTGTTTATCTCAGCCGTTTCTTAGCCAAGGAAGGCAGCGTTGTCCGAAGACATTTTCTGTGGTCGTGTGGCTAGCATGGCTATTTGCCAAAGGTGTACGGAACGCTGTTACGTTCCCACTGAAGTGGTACCTATTTATCTACTTGCATTTGCATGCTTTTGAAGTGCTAGATGGGCAAGAGCTGAGGCAAGGAACAGGAGCTCACCCTGTTGCGCGGAGCTCAGGTCTCGAATCTGGGCTGTCAGCTCTCTAGCTGACAAGCTCAGCACTAAATTCTGTCCGTGATTTTATTAATTTGCTAACAATCATGTTCCTACGATCAAACAGCTAATCTTTCCACCATACTACAGCATTTGGGTATTATTAAAGCATTCTCTACCTACAAAATCCTCCCCAAAACCTATTTGCCCCCATCCCACCGTTTGGCCAAGCCCCAAACTCCAGCTCCCAGATTAATTCATGTAACACCATATGCTAGTTACAACAACTTCATTCCTCACGCCCCTTCAGTTTCCTTTCCCTTCTAAGGGTGTTCTCTCTTTTGTGGAGTTTTCCTTCCTTACAGGAAAGGAGTCAGCAAGTATTTATAAATGAAAATTTTAACCTATAAGTGTATGTTAAACCAACAAAAATGCCAAGGATCCATTTGGACAGAATTTTTTTTTGTAAGTGCCACTTGTCAGGGGGATCAGATTTAAGGAGTGTTTGCTGATCTTGAAAGTCAGGAGTGTTTTTTCAATAGATGAATTTGAGACCAGACATCAACGGTGAGGCCATCAGGAAAAAGCTTACAATTGGCATCCCAAAATTCTACCTGACAACATTAATAAACCATGCATATGGGATATTTAAAATATTCAAAGCATTTGAAAAGTACTAGTAATAATTTATAGGGCCATTTTAAAATATTCAAAGCATCTTAAAGGATATACTTTATTTCAATAATGAACTGGGCTGTAAATGGAACATATGTTTTGGAAATATGTTCTGGTTTAATGGATGTATTTTATTTTTTTAAAAAAGTAGAGAACTTGGGGCCTTCCAGTTATTGTAGGATTCCATCTCTCAACAGCCTCAACCAGACTACAATAACCAGACAGTAACAAAAACAATAAACCACAAGTTGCTAGAAGGTTCCAGGTCTCTGTAAGGAACTCCAAGTTTCAAAAAAAGTTGAGAAAAGAAAACATATGATTTGCAAATGTTACAACAAACCCTATAGCAAAGAAGGCAGATGCCGGTACTTATTGTTTGGGGCAAAATAAAGCATTGTTGTAGCAAATTCTCTGCTGTAATAGTGAAACTCTGTTCTACTATGACTTAACCACAGCAACATTTCCTCTACTTGGAA